AAAATGCTGGGACTAGGGGTATATGAGTGGGGCTACATAAACTACTTTTGCCAAGGAAGGCATTTCATGCTCGTTTCCAGATGAAGAGAGCAGACAGGCATCGAGTTATAAAGGCAGCCGACCCAGAAAACGTCCAAGCGCCCTGCCAGGTTGACATTGATTGACTCTCAAAAAAGACTAAAACATTCCCGCTCAAATCGCCACTGCGACGAGAAGTGCATTTCGAGGGCTCAGACCAGACTTCCATAAAAAATAAAAGCCTCCTGGCAGCATTTTCACCGTCTTCTCTTAAACGGCATAAGGCCCTGTGATGGTGGTCAGGACACGCTCACTATTCTAAACCCAAACGAAATGCACGTCTATTCTACTTCGAAGGGTGGCGTCAGAAACGAAGTCGTAGAGAATTTGGACCCGCAGCAGAAGCGAACCGATGCCATGCAGGCAAAAAGCCAGCATCGAGGAAACCTCTTTATTTGCCTGACATTTGGCGTGCACTCGCACATTTCCAAAGAGACCGCCGAAGAAGAAGAAGAAAAACTAGACGGTAACCTATAAGGTCAAACTTCAATCGGCCGACCTGACGTCAGCCACCCATGCGGCATATCAACAGTAGCCATCTTTAGAAGCTGAGTTGTGCACGCAATGCTGCCGACTTTTGGCACCTTTGAAAGCCTTCAAGTGTAGAGGAAATTGCGAATTATGTGTTAAAGTCAAAGCAAATGGAGATTGCAATTAGGCCAGTGGCACGGGTTTGCCTGCATATCAAATGCCATAATAGAGCACGTCTGCATAGACGTATGTGATTGCCCAGAGTAGGAGGTCAAAAATGCTACGTATCTCTTTTTTTGCAAAAACTCTCATTGAAAATGTCAGAAGATGAATTGGTGAACATACGCTCGTTTTCGATAAATTTTCGTCAGGCCTTTACATGTATATGGTAATTAAGTAAATAAACTATGCGGATTGGTAGAAAAGATGGTACGGTTGTCAGGGCCGGGGGAAGGGGGGAGGGTCGGAGTCAAAATCTGATCAGCGTTAGGGGAGACTGGTGGTCGACCGAGGTGATAAGCTGCTGGCTGTTGGATTAGGGGCTTTTGACCATGGTGCCTGCGGGGCCACAACGAAGTTCTTTTGGGCGCAGAGGATCGGTCGGCGTAGCCTGATGGCGGCCGTGTCTGCCGTAGCCAACAGATGTTGTCCAATAAATTTTGAATCTCACAGCTAGCGGCTTATCACCCAGGTCGACTACCAGTCCCCCCTAACGCTGATCAGATTTTGACCCCGATCCCCCCCCCTTCCCGCTGCCCCGACAACCGTACTATTTATTTTACCAAT